GTATTGGGATCGTCATTCTTCTGTAGATACTTCGATTCGCCCCTTCCTAACACCTTGATTTCGGATTCGAAAATTCTCATTTTGCTCGATTAGAAAGTTCAGTACGTTTAACTTCTCAAAATTTGCTTTAAAAAAAACGTTTCCTCTGAGTTAAAATACCCGGACACACACATACACATACACATACACACACACACACACACACACAAGCACATGCTCACATACACCTTGGGTCGTCACATTATACGCTTTTGCATTTGCATAAATATGCAGAAATACGTAAAAATAATGAGAGATTTTTAGATGCGGAGCTAATTCGTTGGGATCTGGTGCTGTACGGGACAGCGGTGGAAGTGAGCAGCACAGGCGGTTTACCGTCACTGTCGCTCACACCACGCTCAGTGAACAGCAAGGCACGCTCACGCTACGACGCATTACGCAAGGAAGTACCACCTTCCGCTGCCTCTAGAAACGTAGCCTGGTTTGCTCTCTCCACTCCTTCAATTCTGTCGCTTGCTTTCTACAAAGTGGGCAGCTAACGAATGATTTCCCGGATGAAGGAGAACCTCGCTCTGGGCGCTGCACTGCTCTGTGAACGTCATCGGTCTTCACGTGGCTTGCAACGGATTGCCACCTGTGAGAGGGTGAGGTGTATGTAGCACTTGTTTTCAGCTGTCTTATCACCGTAATGCACCATTTGAAGTACTATAAACGAATACTATATGCAAACGATGTACTGTAAGCGAGCACTCTATGCAAGTGAAATGTTGTAGGCGAGTTCTGTGGACGTACATAACGGTACAGAGTAGGCTTCAGAAGTGGTGAGAGGAACGCGCACTGTGCTGTTCGTCTCTTTGCCATCCGTTTTTCCAGCTGTATATTGTTACTTTTATTGAAGATGTTCACAATTTGCGTTTTCAGATTCAGAAGGTTTACTGTAGTTTTGTTAGAATTATGCGAAGATCTCTTGCTCACTTCTTCCAAGTAAGGCGCTTTGGCTAGAATGCACTAGGTTATGGCTTAATTTATGATGTAGTCTAAATACGGCAACTAATCTAATAAACTGCAA